CTTTTGCCGCTGAGCTAAATCCCCAGCCCCGAATCTAGCTATTGTGATGCTGGAGTTGGAACTCTGAAATTAGGTAATAGACAGAGTCATGCTTAAGAGATTGAAACTCTCCCGGTACCGGAGAAAAACAAAACAAAACAAAACAAAAAAAAACCCAAAAACAACAACAACAAAAAGAGATTGAAACTCAGTTAATCTCAGTGAGAATGACAAAGTCATGTGTCAATGCTTTATTCACACGACGTCAATTTCCTAAGTGACTCAAGCTTGGGGGACACTCAAGATTGTGAAGTTACATAAACAAAGTAAAGTTCACATCGATATCAGCATTAGTCTCTGTGAAACCCCCAAGCATTAACTGAGAGCTTTCCTAGACACTTTTATCTAAATAAATTCACTTTGTTTCCTTGTCTATAGGAAACAGATAAGGAAACAAGAACTACAGGGGCAGAACTTCAGAAATAGCAGAACTGCAAGGGGAACTAAGATGAGGAAAGGATGTTAGACCTAGTACCAAGAGCAATAAATGATTAGAATATCTGCAGAAGACAAAAAGAAACAACAACACAGAGTACTTTCAGAATTAAAGTCTGGTCATTTTTCCTATTGAGTATGGGAGAAAGAACCAGGAACACTGCAGATTTTCTGAGGAGAGATAAAACATACTATAAGATCTTATTTTAAATTCTAGTGGTCTCTATTAACTGTAGGGATTATTTTGGCTTGCTTATTTTTAGTACAGCCCCCTTTTCTTTCTACATAGTTATGCATGGTCTACAGCCCATACTTGATAGGGAATGAGTGAACACGCTTCACAAAGCACTCCAGGTTGTACTCACATTCTCTCTAAGCTGAAAAAATAATGATCTTTGACGTTTTCATCAGCTTGTAAATTCAGTGAGTTTGATGGGCATGATTATGCTCTCGGTTATGAAGCCAACATGAAAATATATCAAAGATGATCTTGTTAAATGTCAATATGTAATGCAACAAGCATTGTTAATTTCCTACCACTTTGTTTGTAACTCTGTATTGTCTGTACTATTCTTTTGCTATTTTGTAAAATGTTGTCTGTTAATGTTTTCCTCCTTTTATTTTTAAAATAAAAAACAAACAAAAAACCCAACCAACCAAACAAAAATGTTTGAAATCTTTTTTTCAATATTTCCAAACCTTGGTTAAAATGAAATACTGATATCAGGTCTGGAAACATTAGCAAGAGCAATTAGACAAGAGAGAGAAATAAAAGGGAACAAGGATAGGAAAGGAAGAAGTGAAACTATCATTATTTGCAGAGGACATGATACATTGCACAGAAGACACCAAAAACTCCACCAAATGACTTTTAGATTTAATAACCAAATTCAGTTGTGTAGCTGGTTACAAAGTCAACACTCAAAAACAATAGCATTCTTGTACACAAACAACAAGAGAGAAGTTAGGGAGATCACACCCTTCACAAAAAAATGAAATACTTAGGAGTCAGTCTAACAAAGAAAGTAAAATATCTACATATTGAAAATTACAATTCTCTGAAAAAAAGGATCCAAGAGGATATCAGAAAGTAGAAAGATATCCCTTGCTCATAGATAGGAAGAACCAACATAGTGAAAATGACCATACTCCCAAAATTGTTGTACAGATTTAATGCAATCTCAATTAAAATATCATTAGAATACCTCACAGAACTACAGAAAACATTCCTGAAATTCATTTGGAACCAGAAGAGGCTTAGAATGGCAAAGGCTTTTCTGGGCAACAAAGACAAAACAGGAAGCTTCACAATCTCTGCCTTGAAATTATACTACAAAGCTACTATGGTATTGGCAAAAAATCAGACCTGAGGATCAGTGGAACAGAGTACAGGATGCAGACACAACTACAAACACACTTGGCCACCTTATTTTTGACAAAAGGGCCAAACATGTTCACTGGAAGAAAGATGGCCTCTTTAATAAATGGTGCTGGGGAAACTGGCTTTCTATGTGCCAAAGACTAAAACTAGACCCATGTCTATCACCATGCACTAAAGTCAAAATGGTAAAAGATCTAAATATTAAAACAAAAACACTAAATCTATTGGAAGAGAAAGTAGGTAGAAATCTTGAAGACATAGGGATAGACAGAGAATCCATGAACAAAAACTGAACAGCACGGGGAAATACTTCAAAGAATCAACAACTGGCATCTCATCCTATTGAAGTTTTTGCCCATCAAAGGATATCACCCACAGAGTAAAAAGAAAACCCACTAATGGGGATAAAATTTTTAGCCAACTGTTCAACAGACAAAGACTGTCTACCTAGAACATATAAAGAATTAAAAAAAAAATCAGGCCCCCAAAATTCAAAGATCCAATAAAAAATGAGCAACTAAGATGAACATACACTTCTTAGATGAAGAAATACTAATGGCAAATAAATATATGAAAAGATGTTCAACATCATTTGTCATTTCAGAAATGCAAATTAAAACAACACGGAGTTTCCATATCACTCCAGAAAGTATGGCTGTGCTCAAGAAGCTAACCAATAACAAATGCTGGAGAGACTGTGCAGAAAAAAGAACACTTCTTCACTGCTGGTGGTAGTGTAGACTGGTGCAACCATTGTAGAAATCAGTGTGGAGATTCCTCACAAAACTAGGATTAGAGGTCTCACTTAACCCAGCTATTCCCCTTCTGGGTATTTTCCCAGAAATATTAAAAACATCATACCACAGCGATATATGTGCACCCATGTTCGTAGCAAAACAATTTGTCATAGCTAACTCTTGGAAACAACCTAAATGCCCATTAACTGAGGAATGGATAAAAAAAGATGTGGTATTTTTATACAATGGAGTACTACTCAGCTGTAAAGAAAGATAAACTGGAAGATTTATAGGTAAATGAATGCAACTAGAGACCATACTCATAAGTGAAATAAATCAGACCCACATGTGTAAACATCATATTGTCTCCCTAGTGTAAGAACTTGAAAGGGTAAATACAATCTGAAAGGTACAACAGATACTGTGAAAGAGAAAGAATCTGCTCAATAGGAAGGAACAACTGGGATGAGGGAAAGGAGAAAAGAAAGAAAGAAAGCAGGGAAAAAATATATATGCAAGATAATTGTACTACTAATTTGTATTGATTTATTGGGAGAAGCAGTTAATGTTTAATTGTTTGATCAATCTTACATACCTATATCTGGTAATCTGAGCAACCCTTTGAAGATAATAATATGTAATACAGCAACCACTGTTAATTTCTTATCGTTTTTAAATTCTATATCTCTTCATTGTTTTTGTTTTTATTATTTTATTTTTGTTCTTTTCTCTTCAAAATAAAAAGTTCCTTAAAAAAATTGAAAAAAATCAGACACCCCCAATCCAAACCCAATAAAAAATGGGCATGTACGATGAATACACACTTCTCAGATGAAGAAATACAAATGGCAAGTAAATACATGAGGAAATGTTCAACATCATTGTGCATTTGAGAAATTCAAATTAAAACAACACTGAGATTCCATCTCATTCCAGAAAGAATGGCTAGCATCAAGAAATCAATAACAAATGCTGGCGGGGCTGTGGGGAAAAAGGTACCCTGCTCTACTGCTGGTGGGAATGTAGGCTGTGATTTCCACAGCCACTGTGGAAATCAGTGTGGAGATTCCTCAAAAACAAGAACTAGAGGTCCCATTTGACCTAGCTATTCCTCATCTGTGTGTCTTCCCAGAAGAGTTAAAAACATTATGCCATGATAATATATATGCATTCATGATTATAGCTGCACAATTTGTCATAGCTAAATCTTGGAAACAACCCAAATGCCTATCATCTCAGGAATGAATAAAAAATATATGATATTTTTATACAATGGAGTACCATTGAGCCATAAATAAAGATAAACTTGAAACTTTTATAGGTAAATGGATGCAAGTTGAGACCATACTCATAAGTAAAATAAATCAGACTCACATGTATGAACATTGTATTTTTTCCTTGTTGTGAGAAACTGAAAGTGTATGTAAGGTCTAAAATGTACAGTAACACAAGATAGCTAAGGTAAATATACTGCTAAGCTCTATTGATTTATTGAAAAGAACAGTTAATGTTTAATTGTTTGATCAATCTTATGTGCCTAGATCTGGTTATCTGAAGAACTACTTTGAAGATAACAATGTGCAGAACAACAAGCATTGTTAATTTCCTCTCCCCTTGTCTTGAAATTCTGCCATTTTTATTGTTTTTATGTTGTTTTGTTTATTTATTTGTGTCTTTGTTTTTATTTTGTTTTCTTTCTTTTCTCTTTAAAATAATACAAAGAAGAAAATATACAATAAATATTTTCAAATGGGAAGAAATTGTTCAAAAAGAAAAAGCAACTAAGATGGGTAAAAGGGGAAAGGACAGAAGAGAAAAGGGAAAAACGCAAGTCAGTTATACTATTAGTGTCCCTTAGTTCATAGAAAGGAAGATTTATACTAATAGCAATTGGAGAAATTTTGATGTCCATATCTTGTATTCTGAGCAACTACTTTAAAGATAGCAACAGGCAATGTATTAACTATTATTATTCTTCTATTATTTTGTTATTAAATTTTGTTTTACCTTTTTTGCATAAAATAAAATTTAAAAAAATGAAATACTGATATTAATGTACAGAAACCTCATTATTTCTATGAAATTTTTGTTGGACTATTCTGAATCTATTAATGGGTAATTCTCATAAGCTAAGGTTTGTCACAGGTGTTATGGGTGGTATTAATAGTCATCATCATAACAGGAAATTGGGAGCAAGGGGTCCCACCTGTCTTTGGTCCCCTAGTTGGCTGGGAGCAATCAGATACTCCTTAATCTGCGAGCTTACAAAATCTGTATCTTGGCAGGATGCTAAAGTGGTTCCCAGGGCCTTCCAAAGAAATTTCTGGAAAATAAAAGATGAATAACAGAATTTTAAAGGGTAGAAATTAAGATTCTGATGGAAAGTGGAAGGGGTTAAAAAGTCATCTGAGGGGAAGAAACGGGTGACTTAATATCTGCTTAGTAGACACATACATCACATTTCTTTATCAAAGTGCTTCTTTCCTCCAGGCCCTTTCTCCCACTACAGCTTTTCTTCTGCACTCCTCTACACCTTGATCCCTACCACTATAATATCTTTCATTATCTATTGTGATTTTTCATTTTCTTATTTGTATCTATGCTCAGAATTTGAACTCTTAGGTCTTAGTCAATATTATCAGTATATAGCTACTTGTAGGTAATAAATGCTTAGCAAATAAACATACTGAATGAAAAAGAAGATGTCTTGGTTACTTTTTTCTCGCTGCTGGGACAAAATACCTGACGCCCAAAATTAAGGAAGGAAAGGTTTATTTCCCTTACAGTTCGTGGAAGTTTCAATCCTTACTTGGGAGATCATAAGGCAGAGTGGCACGTGGCAGAGGGCTGCATCTCAGGATGGCAGCCACAGCTAAGCAGCTACCAGGACACAAACACCAGGGCTGAATGGGGGAGGAATAGCCTCAAGCAGCTCCTTCCTCTCCCTTACATATGCAAACTATCCACTCCGGGGCGGGTGTAGCTCTCACACCCATATTCAACTCTAATAGCCTTCCCCATATCCACAGGAGGCTTTGGGGGGACACACAAACATAAACCATAAGAGAAGACTATTTTGACTATGACTTTTTTAGTTATCTAATGTTCAAATGTTTTATAGTTGTATAACATTAGTGGAGCATCTCTTTATTTCAGATTTCCATCTCTGTCACATGTAGGACAGAAAACTGGCCAATTGCTGGTTCATTTCAAGGATCCTGCAAAGCTTGTGGGATTACAGCTATTGAGTGGGCATATTCGATGAGATAGGAGTCTATTGAACCAAAAGAAAGGGTAGCAGAAACAAAATTAATGTTCTCAGGAGAAATTGTGCAGAGAAATCCGACTTGAGCATTCTTTCACTTCTAAGCTTTTGTTAACTGCAGTATATTATTTCTGGTAGCCGGCCTCACAAGACTAGCATAATGCAAATTAAAACATAAACTGACATTAAGCCAGTGTTGCAGCAGAGCCTGCTCTTTGCCTTCTTATATCCTTTTTCCTTCCTTCTCTACAAAAGAGCCTGCGAATTTCAATCAGTCACATATCTATCTTGTCCCGGGTTTACTTGGAGAAAGATGTGGCCGTATGCCATGTTTTGGACAAACTTCAGGATAAGAGAAAAATGTACTATTCAATATTTGCTAAACATTCTTAAAAGGATTTTCCTCTATTTTTCTATCCCTCACCCCTTTTGTTTACAATAGAGACAAGATAGAGTTTTGTGTCAAAAGGTAGATGCTATGGTTCCTTATCTGAAAACGAACCTTCTCAAGGGAGACGGTGCTGTAACTGCTCATCTGCTGGTTGAAATCTCGACTCAGTTGAATGGTCCAAGCCATGTCATTGATCTTCCACAAAGATTCTTTGAGCAACTGTTGTAGGAAGTGAAAGTTAGATGTGAGTGTGTCTGTTTAATGTAGTTTCTTATATGATTTTGCTACCTTATCCTCCAAAAGTATAAATATGTTTTATGTGACATTATTGCTTTTACCATAAAATAACTGGTTACTTTGGAGCTTTTCATATTAGTTTATTTTAAGAACCATTTTCTGATACGTTCTGAACTTTCATTAACATTAAAAGATATAGAATGGAGAGATAGCTCTGTAAGTACTTTCCTTTTTCTGTCTTAAATACAAATTGCTGAAAAAATTAAAAAGATTTAAAATAGAAACTAGTAGAAACTAATCTGAACTGAAACTTAAATTTAAGTATCACACATGAAAAACTTCATTTGTCAATGTTATTTCACTTATTATGTACTTAAAATACATATATGGGATAGCTTTGAAATGAAGAACTAAACATCTTGAAGAACCAGTTAGATGTACCAGCACATTTCTGCAAACTAGTAAGTAAATAGTTCTGGTTTCACCAGTTGTTCTAAGTCAAGGTCACAATCAGTCCTTTAATAGCAATCCTTTTTAATTAAGACAGAAAAAGGTATTTGTGTGTTTTCGGAGAACGAAGCCCATTGCAATTTCTAAAAGCAGTATTTGGACACTTAATGTCAAGGCCACTGAAAAAGTTTGTATATATTTTTAAAATAAGAGCTTATCCAATGGGTCTCTTAAAGAAAAAAAAATCTTGGAAGATTAAGGGATGAGGCCACATGCACACAGTTTTGAAAAAAAAAATTAGGACTGTAAACACTGGAAAAAGGGAAATAAGCTGTTTTAAAGGTTTTCTGCTAGAGAAAAACAAAACAAAATTCTTTCCAAGTGCACAATTTTAAAATGGCAGCTGGGGAGAATAGACCAGGAATTTTGAGAGAAAGACGGAAATATCAGAGAAGAAAGAGAAGAGGTGGATCTTAGGATCAGTTCCAGCCTGGTAGAATAGTCATTTTTGGCCCTTATAGTGGATAAGAATCACTCTTGGAAGCCCCTACGAACATGATAGTTCTCAGTAACTTTGTTTTTGCAAGAGGTGGTGAACAGAGGAGGGGGAATGCTATGGGAAAGTCTCTGAAAGTTAACATTTTCAAGAAGCCATAACAATGTCCTATGTAGATGGTTTATACGCTGAAAACCTCCTGCCCTATTAAAAGCTCCCTGTTCATGAACTTCTTAACATGTCCTTTCCTGAAGTTGAAATCTTTTATTGCCTCCTGCCTGCAATGTACCATTTCTGGGATTTGGCACTGCCTCTAACCTTGCTGAGTTGTAAAGGTGAAAAAGTCTGTGTGAGAGAGAAGACCGAAGATAACAGTTCATGTGATTTAAAAAGCATGGCCCTGTTGTCTTTTTTCTTGAGAAGAGCATTACCTTTTACAAAATCACTTCCAACATTCTAGTCCTTTTCTCAAGTAAAGCAAGTATTGTTCACCGGGCTTTGGAACCTACTTCTTGTGTTGTTAATCTAGTTGTCAAGAGTGGCAGCTTTGCCTTGTTTCCCATGCATCATCACGATGCACCTAGAAGGCACACTTACCTGAAGCAGCATGGTTTCCCACAGCACCGTACTAGCATTCTTTCCTAGAGATGAAAATTGATACGGTAACTACAAATAAACCAAGATTCAAATTCTCACTTATTAGGTCCCCAGTGGATGTTGGAGTTCCATTTCAAGACATCTGCTTGCTTAGAGTAGATATTTGAGGTGAAATTTATTATACTGGCAATTTTTAAGTGCTTGTCAGATAGAGACAGCATTTTAAGTGCATGGCAAAAATTTAGTTTTTCTTTTTGTTGTTGTTAATTTCAGAAATATGTAATGAAATACCATATTTTAGTGCTTTAGTATAAATGAGTAGTGATCTCTTAGTACAATTTCCAAAAAGTTTCTCTTATATATAAAAAGATCGTAGCAAAAATAGAAATTCTTGCAAACCATTTCCCACCACGAGTATTGAGAGAAAGATAGAATATAAGTAATCAAGAAAACCTAGTATACCAAGTTTACAGTTTGAATGATCTAAAATGAATAATAATGGTGTTATACAGAAAAATCCTTATTTGCTTGCCTCCTTGGATAAAAAGAAAACAATTTTCATCATCACTGTAGGGGCTGGAAAACCTGACTCCACTCCTTTGTACCTTCCATAGACTGCAGGAGCTCAGGTATGCGCGTTTTCCACAGGTCTATCAATTTTGGGTGAATCATCTCAGGCACTATCTTCAAAAGTCCTATTGCGCTGGCCCCACATAACTTCCCTAAACTGGCAAGAATAGATATGACCTGAAGAATGGAAGAGAAAAAAGATTAATAATAATAACAATTTTAACGGTATTTAAAAGACCCACCTCTCTTCTTCTTCTTCTTCTTCTTTTTTTTTTCCATCATTGCTCTGGATTCCTAAATTGGATAACCCTTTAATAAACCATTGCAACAAAGTTAATACTTGGACAGTCTTCCCAGTTTTTACCCCTCAAAAGTGAAAAAAACACATGGAAACAACCAACAAAAAATAAGTGGAAAAAGCCTTAACCCTTAGATATATCTACTAATAAATGTATGTGGAAGAATAGGGCTTGATGAAATGATAGTGTGGCCAAAGGAAAATTAAGGAAAGAAAGAAAGAAAGAAAGAAAGAAAGAAAGAAAGAAAGAAAGAAAGAAAGAAGAAAGGAAGGGTGAAAGAAAGAAAGAAAGAAAGAAAAGACAAAAGAAAAATGCACATAGTCAATGTGGAATTTGTTAGGATACTAAAAATTCCAAAATGGTACCTAAGAATGATATTCAGTCTGTACTTACTTTAAAATTATAATATTTAGTAAGTATTTCAAAAAGAGAAGATAATTTTGCTAGAATATTCAAGACTGTCATTAGTACAGCAGAAAAATTATGATGCTGTTTTAGTCTTTCTTTTGGCTTGGAGTATTTATGCAAGTTTTATTAACATTTTCTTTAGAACTGAATTATCCATTTCAACTAAAATTTATCCTACACTGGTTCTTTGTAACTCACCAGAAGTCTGGCCAGTAGCTGCTGTGGTGAAGGGAGTTTCCCTAAAAAGAGAAAACAGCTTTCATCATCACCGTAGGGGCTGGAAAATGCAGACTGGAGTTAGGTGTAAGATCAAAGCATGGTAGACTTTCTGGAAACGGGACTTTTGTAATTGTAATAGGAAAGCATTGCTTTGTTTATGAATGTACGAACCAGTTCCTGGAGAGACGACAAGGGCTGTGGACTCTGGGGCATTATGCTTTTTCCTCTCTTCTGCCATAATCAGGATTCTGATAATATTAAGTAGGTAGTCCAGAGTTCCTGTATATTCTTCGGGTACTACAAAAGTAAGGATTCTTGGCCATAGTACCTGTGGGAAACATAGGCAAGTTACAAGAATTACTCACTGTTTTCCAGGACATCTCCCTAAGCTTCTCTACATGTTTCTGATTTAGAAACTCTTTTTTTCTCATTGTTATAATTTGTCTCTAAATCAAAATAAAATAATTAAATAAAATCTTTGCATAGCACATTCAATTCCAGGTAACCGCTGGTCAGTTTCTCCCTGGGGTTTGTTCCTGGAATTTGAGGCAAGACAATTTTTTTCACTGCAAGAGATAGTTCCAGACACTGTTGGAAATTTACCATCTCCGAGGTTCATTCAATAAGTTCTGGTATTCCTTTTGTCAGTGTGACAACTGAAAATGCTCCACAGATTATGTGAAGAGCCAAGGTTGAAGTGGGACTGCCCCCCGGAAAATGACAGGAAGAAGACTGTGAGTGGGCGGGCAGGATTCTGTGTTTCTGCTTCTGGAGGTGTGGACTGTCTGTAGTTTGTGTAGTCAGAATGTTCCCTTGTGGGAAACCTTGATGTTGAAGTCTTGGTGTCAACTTAGACTTCTTCGCCTTTCTCTGTCATTTGTATTTAATCACCAAGCAGAGTCCTTTTCACAGTAAAACCTGTCATGCCCTTTGTTTCACTCCTAACATCCTGACCCTGCTGCAGTGTCTGTGTCTAACTTGATGCACGTCTCTTTCCTCTTAGTTTAGCTGTATGTCAGACCACAATCTTCTACCATTGTCATTTTCAGTGTTTAGTCCTTTCTTAACATTTTCATTGGCTCCTTAACCACAAAGTTTAGCACTGCAGGTCCTTGAGAGTTTGCCTCTAATTTTACTTCTGGATCAGAAGGTTTCAATCTTCAGTAGGCATCAGACATGTGGGATTTGGTGGTAGACTCGTGCGCCTCCTGTTTGGACATGCTGATTCAATGGGTTGAGTATGTGGCCCTGAAATCTGCATTTGAAATAAATATTCAGATAATTCAAGAATCATGTACTATAATAGATGAAGCATTTGATCCACTTATATTGAGTGGCTGTTGATTGTCTCCTGAACATGCCATGACTTCTGGCCACTAAAATCATTGCTCAGGCTATTCTGTTTAAGAAAAGTAAGTATGGATTCCAAGGTTCCTCCTCTTGAGGTTCAGATTAATTAGGGGTCCAGTGAGTCTTCAGCATGAGTGTTTTTAATGCCTTTCCAGATGAATAGGGAAAGTTTTGGATTAATTACATTATACTCACCACTTACTACTCAATGATATTTTTAGATAGATTAAAGGAAGAAGAAAAATAATATATTAAGGTGTTTATAAATTGTTATGTACTTCCCAGATATAAATAGTTTGTGTTACTTATCTTAATCATCAAATTAATTAATTTAACATCTGTTTCTGAGAAACTACTGTGTACTGGATCCTGGACATCATGACACACTTCCTCAAGACAGAGAACAAAAAGCTGATGATACATGCAGAATAAACTTTTGTCTTTACACCTGAGTGGGCAGAGCTTTAGGCAGGAGATCAAAGTAAATATGAGCTGTGATGAAAGAATCCTTACCTGAGGCATTCCGATCACCAGTGGGTCCAGGGTTTTTAAGACCTCAAGGCTTGTTTCTTGAACAGATTTCTCTCCTATCTCATTTTCTGGGGAGTTACTTTTCACTGGTTTCTCCTTTAAGAAAGATGAAACAGGTGATAATAATCTCTAATGTTAGTTTCTCTAACCTTATTTGGATCTGTGCTCAGACTCAAGAGTGGAGAGTGTCATCTCTCAAGTGAAAGGGCTCACAGTATCTAGGGATCTTGGTCTCCTAAATAAAATTCCTATTTAAAAAGGCCCCTTGTCAAACATGTTCACTGGAAGACAGCCTGTTTAATAAATGGTGCTGGAAAAATTGGCTTTCCATATGCTGAAGACTAAAACTAGCCCCACGTCTATCAACATGCACTAAAGTAAAAATGGATTAAAGATCTAACTATTAAAACAGAAACACTAAATCTACTGAAAGACAAAGTAGGTAGAAACCTTGAAGACATGGGGTAGGCAAAGAGTTCATGAACAAAAACCAAACTGCAGAGGAAATATTTCAAAGAATTAACAACTAGGATCTCATCTTATTATAAAGTTTTTGCACATCGAAAGAAATCACCAAGGGAGTAAAAAGAAAACCTACAGAGTCAGAAAAAAATTTTAGCCAACTGTCCCTCAGACAAAGGATTTCTATCTATAAAATATAAAAAATTGAAAAAAACCCAGACCCTCCAAATTCAAAGATCCAATCCATAAATGGGTGTGTGAGATGACTATACACTTCTCATATGAACAAATACAAATGGCAAATAAATGCATGAAAAAATGTTCACCATCATTGGTCTTTTAAGAAATGCAAATTAAGACAACAATGAGTCTCCATCGCACCCCAGAAGAATGGCTGCCATCAAGAAATTAACCAATAACAAATGCTGGAAGGGCTATGGGGAAAAAGGAACTGTTCTCTGCTGTTGGTGGAAGTGTAGACAGGTGCAACCACTGTGGAAATCAGTGTGCAGATTTCTCAAAAAACTAGGATTAGAGGTCCCATTTGACTCAGCTCTTCTATTCCCCTTCTGGGTATTTTCCCAGAAGAATTAAAAATATTGCACCACAGCGATATACGTGCACATATGTTTATAGCAACACAATTTGTAATAGATAAATCTTGGAAACAACCCAAAAGCCCATCAACCGAGGAATTGGTAAAAAAGATAAGGTATTTTTATACAGTGGAGTACTAGTCAGCTATAGAGAAGGACAAATTGAGGTTTCCATAGGTAAATGGATGCAATTAGAGATCATACTTATAAATATGAAATAAATCAGACTCACATATATAAACATTGTATTGTCTCCCTAGTGCAAGAAACTGAAAAAATAAACGAGATCCAAAATGTACAATAGATATTTGGAAAGAGAAAGAAACTGCTCCAAAGGAAAGAACACTTGGCATGGGAGAAAGAAAAGAAGGAAGGGAAAAGAAAAATTTATCTATTTATTTATCTATCTACCTATCCATCATCAATGTATCTATCTAAAAGACAGCTAAAATAATTACACTAATTTCTATTAGTTCATTGAAAAAATGGGTTGTGCTTACATTGTTTGATCATTTTTCCATACCTATATTTTGTAATCTGAGCATCTGCTTTGTCTTGTTAAATGTTTTTATTTTTATTTTAAAGATAAAAGAATGAAGATATATTAACAAACACATAGATATAAACAAAACAAGACACAAAAATAAAGGCAATGCAGAATTTCAGACAAGGTGATAGGAAACTAACAACCGTTGTTGTATTAAATATTGTTATCTTCAAATTCATTACTCAGATAAACAAATATAGGCATGTAAAATTGATGAAACAATTAAACATTAAATGTTCCTTTCAATAAAGCAATAGAAATCAGTAGTACAATTATCTTAGCTATCCTGTGTATACATATACACATACTTTTTCCTTCTGTCCTTTCTCTTTTTGCTCATCCAAGGTGTTCTTTCCTTTTGAGCAGTTTATTTTCCTTTCACAATATCTATTGTACCTTGAGTAACTACTTTGAAAATAGCAATGTAGAATATGTTAACCATTGTTAATTTCCTACTATCCTCCTTTGAAATTCTGTATCATTGCTTTCATTGTTTTTCTCTTTAAAATAATAAAAAAGAAAGGGCCCCTTAGAGGGATGGGTTGGAAAATATTTCACTGGATGAAAGAGAAAAGGAAAAGTGGTGAGGATCTTTGAGTTGCAAATTTTCTCTCTCTTCCAGGTCTTTGCCATTTTCTTCCAGACTAAAATTTGCCAAGTATTGCTTCTTAGTAGAGTAGACTGTAATTTCAGTTTTGGTAACTTACTAAGGTGGCTGAGGTCTTATGCACATTGTTTTCATCTACAGGAAGTTGTAGTATGGACAATCATATCGCCCCCAAATTCGTAGGTTGAATCCTGACCTCTAAGGTGATGGTATTAGGAAGTAGAACCTCTGGGAGGTGACTGGGGCAAAAGGGCAGAGCCCTCCCTTCAGTGTGGGATCACTGCCTGTGTGGAAGGAACTTCAGAGAACCAGATAGCTCTCCGCCGTGTGTGAGAGCACTTGAGGAGACCCCGTCTGTGAGGGAGCATGCCCTCACCAGACCCTGACTTCTCAGCCTCGGAATTCTTACTAATAAATGCATGTTTATAGGTCCTTAGGGTTTATGGTCTTTGCTGTAGCAACCCAAGTGGATCAGATGCCAGTGCAGTGGGTATGGTGTCTTTTGTGTTCTGTAAAACCATCCACTGTCTCTGCACCTGTGTAAAGTATCCCTACCCTAAGACTTTGGAAGGCAGGTTCTCTCTCCAGAGAAAATGGTGATTTGACCTACTTTGTGTTTATTGTAGGATATTGGTGAAAAGGAACTAAGAGAACTGGAGGCTGAGAAAAATCTTCAGCAAAAATAGATTGAAATATAATTCTGAAATCAGTTGTTTCTAAAATCTGTTTGAGTTTTCTCTTTCTTTCCCCTCTCCCTCTCTTCCCCTCTGATCCTCTCCGCTCCTCTCCTCTCGTCCTTCCTCCACCTTTTGTTTTGCAGTACTGGAAAATGAAATCAGGACCTTCTCACTGAGCTACACCCCCAGCCCTTTTAAATTTATTTTGATTTTGAGATAGAGTGTTGCTAGGTTGCTAAATTGCCCAGGCTGAGCTCGAACATGCAATCATCAGCCTCGCCACCCAGAGCGCTGGGGTTACAGGCATCTGTTACCACACCCGGGTGAGCTCCGTCGTTTTTTAACGCGCAGTTGAGTCAACTGCACTTGTTGCAGTGCCACGCTCAACACTGTAACTGTGGCCTCTCTTTGTACCAGTTTCCTGCTGGATGCTGCAAACTGAGCGAAGACGTAATCAATCAAGGGCCATCCTTCCCGCGCTTCGATGTAGGACTTTTCACACATGGTTTGGATGAGGAGAAGGGTGGAAATCCTTACCTACAGCAAGAGCAACGCAATAGCAACATTTTATGTGGCAGCATAGAAATTTACCTTTTCCTATTTCATAACTGTGATGAAGGTTTAAAAGGTGGGAGTACAGACTGAATAAAGTTACAATAAATAGATGAGCAGGAAGTGACTTCACACTTCCTGCTCTCACACTTCCTGACTTCACACTTCCTGGAGATGCTCTCTTTAACCAAAATCTTTTTACTTACCTCCCAAAATATACCTTTTGTGCTATATAGTATGATATATTGGTCACTTTGGTAAAACACTGCTGCACGTTAAAAAGTACTCAGGAAAGATTGAACTATAGATCCATAGTTGCTTATTCACAATTTTGAAATCCAAACATCTCTAAAAACTAGAATTTTTGTTTCTTAAATTTTGTATCAGCTCATTTAGTGGTAGAACCTATATGGAATCATCTATATTTTAAAGCTGCCTCCAGTCTCTACTTCTGCTGCATAAAGTGGAGTATGCCTTATTTTGGTAAAAATAGCAATGAGTTTTGATTCTGGGCTACTAGCACAGTAATATCTAAATTCTGAAAATTATAAATTATGAAATATTACTGACTATGAATTAGAGAGACATGCTGTGTGCTTGTGTTATATTTTTGTTTTGGGTACTGGGAGTCATTCTCAGGACCTCATGCTTATAAGGCAGGAGATTGTGCCCTGAGCTATATCCCTGGCCTTATGTATTATAATATTTTTTTTTCTTTTTTTTTTTTTTTTTTTTTTCCGGTACCAGGAATCAAACTCATGACCTTGCACTTGCCAGGCAAGTCCTGTGCCACTGAGCTAAATCCCCAAGTCTTGTATTATAATATTTTTAATGCTGATTTAAATTTGTTTTTTTAGATAGCTTCCCTGGAGGACAGAAAGCTAAGACCCAACCTTTTAGTGAGTGGGTCTTTTATCATATAGCAAAAAGTAAACAATAATTTTGAAAAGGGAAGCATGGCTGTGTGGTGGCCAAAGCATAAAGGCTCTGAGTAGTTTACCTAAGTTAGGAAGGTAAAGTAAAAGGGGAGATCAAAATATTTGGCAAATGCTTAAATAAAAAAAAATTACAGTGAAGACACATTGCCATTAATCTTTCTCAAACTACTCCCCTCCCTTTGAAAACTATTATCCCATTGTTCTTGCCACTTTCTGAAGCAGTTCTGGAAGTTCTGCTTAGTGCCTTAGTGAGGTGTGATTAAAAACAAAACAGTGAGTGCTGCTGCCACTGCCACTGCCATAAAGACAGTTTTGTGAAAACAGGATGACGTGTTCTCACCCACCGTCTTGGCCAGACCTGTCACTGTGTGCCAGCTGACTCTTCCCCAAAGTCAAAACAACCATGAAAGTAAACATTTTGAATTCACTTAGAATATCAAGACAGCCATCACAATCAACTAAAGACACTCATGAAAGGTCTTCCAGAACTGCCTCAGAAAGTAGCACTGATGATGGGATAAGTGTGTTCAAAGAATGGACCATATGGAAATTAATGGCTATGTGTTTTTTACTGTAATCATTAAAAAAAAATATTCAGTACATTTTTCAACATATCTTGTATAGCTTCTCTCTCTTTGCCTGGTAAGGTGGCTGCCCTCTTCCCTAGAGTGCTGTGCTCTTCTATTCTGAACAACAACAACACAACGACTTTCCCCCTTCTCTGTTTTCCCTCTGTTTCCTCCTCCTTCTTTATTTTGTGGTACTGGGATGGAACCCAAGGCCTTCACACTGAGCTGCCTCCCACCCCAGTCCTTCTTTTCTTTTATGTTTTAAAAAATTTGAAGTCATGGTCTTGCTAAGTCACTAAATAGCCCAGGGTAGGCTTGAATTTGTGATCCCCCTATCTCAGCCTCCTAGGGTGCTGGGACTATAGGTCGTCATTCTTCTATTGGCTTGGTCTTTACTGGGTCAGGTCTGAATATATGTACAGTTATTCCATTGTTATTTATTGCAAAGTTCCTTTTACCTTAACTATAACCATTGGAGACAAAAGCTACTTAGAGGAATGTTCTCTTTATAGGTTTCTGCAAAGGATTTTATGTGGATTTCATAAAAATTATAGTGCAAATTTTTTTGAGTTTTCACTGCATAAGTTCTTCCTTCCCTTTCCACTTCCCCCTTTCCCTTTCTCCTTTCTCCTTTCTTCCCCTTTCTCCTCCCTTTCCTTTCCTTTCCTTTCCTTTCCTTTCCTTTCCTTTCCTTTCCTTTCCTTTCCTTTCCTTTCTTTTCCTGCCCTGTCCTGTCCTTTCCTGTCCTGTCCTTTCCTGTCTTGTCCTTTCCTGTCCTGTCCTGTCCTTTTCTGTCCTGTCCTTTCCTGTCCTATCCTTTCTTCTTTTGTTTTTTGAGACCAAGTATTGCTATTTGGTCAGGCTGGCCTCTAAAGCATGGCAATCTTCCCGTCTCTGCCTTCTGTGTGCTGGAATTAAAGGTGTGTGCTACCATCCCTGGCTAAGTTCTATATTTTCTAACATAAAAATACATTAATCAACCAATCAGAAAATATTGAGCTGTCCACTATGTTCAGGACTTGCTTTCTGGTTAACAACCAGAAATCTAGGGTAACAAGATTCAGAGGTTATTATTTTGGGGAAGGAAGACATATAAAATTTAAAATTAATGCTTAATTTTAAAATTTTACTAATACATGTTTATAGTACATAATTATTATAATTATCATTAATTCTTTTTTGTTTGTTTGATTTTGTTTTTTATCTCCTACCCTTCCCCTCCACCTCTGGTCCTTCCAATTCTCAATTACTTTCTCATTTGCTAAAGATGGATATTCATCATTTCCCCCCTTTCAATGCTTTTTTCTCCATCCCTTTCCCTTCTCCATTCTCTCCCTCCCTTCATCTGTGTTTTGGAAGTAGGGGGAGCATTTTCAAACATTTAATTTTTAAATGATCTGAAGAGCCTTGACATAGTGCTATTCTGGGCAAAAGTCTTTCTAGGAGGAAGCCCTTAGCTTCTATCTTGATTGGTTTATCTGTTTTGGGATCAAGTTCCTTGGAAATGAAATTCATTATTGATCCCTTTATAAAGCAGTCTCATAGTAGATCCTTGCAGAATCAGAATCATTTCCTTGATTTCTAAAACTGCCACTAACCAAATAAAAGTTCCTGTTAATTCTCTTACTTTTGGGCTGAGGTCACTCATGATAACTTTGACTGTTTTTTCAATTGAAATGATGTGATTCCTCAGCTTGGGTTCTGAAAGGCAAAGGGAGAAATTGTGAGGTTGGACCAGTGTGGATACAACATGTTTTAAGAACGGTGAAAAACCACTAGCATTTCGTTACATAAAAATTTTTGTGTTTAGTATCTTACACAATCCAAATTTTTTTCCTATCTTCTTTCTCTGCTCTTCAAGGATGTTTGTTTCATATTACATTTGTTTTATCTTATTCAAAATGTTAGATTCTACTATGGAGTCAATATATCATGCCTGATAGATCAGCTCTAATTTTACAGTACTACTTCCTATTTATCTGCTTATTTAAAAATATATCATGTTGTAAAAATCAATCCTCATATTTTACTGAATCTAAGATATCAACTTTATGGTGAATCATTAATGATCAATTATAATTGAAGATGCTATTAATTGAAAGATTCATTCAATATTATGAAATACATGCTTCTTGGAATAAATGAAATATAGTGATTCATTACATTCTGCTCTTTCCTTAGTGTGACAGTCTCCAAAGAATTCTACACTTCTCTCATCTACCCTCTGTTTATTATGGGCCACTGCCCAATATGTTGGATCTTCTAAATTTGGTTCCCCAAAACTCTATTTATTCTTAAAATGTATCCATAAATATCATGAAAGAAAAGAGATAATTGAAAATGCCTGTTTAAAAGGAATACATTGGAAAAGACTAAGAAAACATTTTCACTTGCATATGAGATTACACAAGATGTAACATTAGCACATGCACACACTTCAGTTCACTTGTTGATGTGAAATAAACCCCTCTGGCTTGTTCCCACTGCTCACCCTCAGCATTGATTGCTGATCTTAACAATGTCAATATTTTCACTCGAATGGCTTCATTGTTACTTCTTATTTGCTCATCAAAAAATTCCACCAGTTCCGCAGGATTTGAATGGGCTGCAAGTTTAAGAAATACTAAAGTCATAAGAACTCATTTTCATCTTAGGTAAAAATACTTGTGAATAAGAAGGGAATTCATTATGAGAATTGTCAAAATCACTCTCGAGCTGGTAACTTGATTTTATGATACTTCCTCAGTATCACAGAATTAATTTGCTTACTAATTTGCTTAATTTCTGTACCTAGGCCCACTTCTGTTTGTACTTGTGAATGTGGGCTTATCTGGAAATTAAGGTCCTTGCAGATACAATCAAGAGAAAGTCACCAGAGTGGGCTCTTGCTCAATATAACCTGTGTCCTTATAAGAAAAGAAGCCACAGACAGAGGCATGGAAAGGGCAATGTGTGAAGATGAAGCAGAGATTTTCCAGGGAGGAAAAGTCAGGTGGCAGATGCTTCCTAGTTGTGAAGCTAGAGGGCTGCTGGAGTAAGATCAGGGAAGAGTGAGGAAATGCCTGGCTGGAAGCTGCTGGATGCAAAGTGATTTAGTTAATTAGGCTGAGAAGGAAATAAGAGGAAAGTAGTCTAGAGGCAGAGGGGCTAATTAGCAAGGAGAGGAGCATAGTGGGAAGGTGTGCAGTGTAGCAGAAGTGATGTACTAGAAGAGGGAAGAGGTATGTTAGGTATTAAAGGGCTGCTTTTCCTCCTCTCCTGGGGCCACGTGGGAGTGTAGCTTTGGATCTTGATCCCAAGACCTTCGTATCTACTGTTACAGCCTGCGTCAGGCATTCCAAACAGCGGATGGACAGGCTGCAGTGCACGGAAAGGCAGAAAGGGGAGACAGGCAGGGAGACAGGGAGGAGGAAAGGGGGAGGAGGGACAACTGAGGGCTAAAAGGGTTGAGTAAAAAGTTGAATAAAAAGGGATGATCAAGGAGAATAAAAAAGGATGATTTTGGATTTGACAGTTTTGTATAATCTCAAATGCCAAGGGAAAAAGAATTTCCTCTCCTCAGGGCTAGTAAGTCATGCTGGTTTTCCTGGCATGCTTCTGGTTTGAGAGGTAACATTGTATCTCCCTGGACATCTCCCCCAACCCCTGGCCTCCAGATGTGGGCACCCGAGCGTGACTGGTTACGCTACCTATGTTTCTCCTGGAAACTTGCGGAGAGAGGGTCAGTATACAGTACCGTGAGCTGAGGAAAAGCTGTGCATGTGTGCATGTGTACATGTGTATGTGTGCGTGTGTGTGCGTGTGTGTGTGAAAGTAAACATAGTTTGGATATCCTTTATCATTGCTGTCTTCATCACTTGGGAGACAATTTTATTAATACCCTTTGGATGATGGGTCCTACCTAAAATGAGGTAGCAACTTGAAACTTCGATTTCATTTTCTAAAGGAGGCTCTGGACCTCTGCAGATCTGAATAGGGAGGAAAAGCCAGGTGGCAGATGTTAAAAACATAAAATGGGTTAAAAAAAATCACACAATCAGATTTGATAGCATGATCTTCTTACCTGGTGGAGCAAACTGACAAAGATGGATTTTTTCAGTGCCTTAGGAAGGTCAATGTCATAAAGGACTGTTGCGGTCAGTATCTGCTTTACACTCTGAAATGGAAGAGCTCAGAGGTCAGTGGGGCTGCAGGTGAAACAGCAGCACAGGAATGGAAGGGAAGTAATTACATTTTGTGAGAATAAACCCATACTTTCCCCGCAGTTATACATTTTCTTCAAACACTCTGTGCTATTCAGAGCTTCCCTAGCTTGGAATGAACATTCTTAATCCTTTTCTAGATTCTTATCCTCAAAGAGCTGCAGACCCATGCTCTAATAAGGTTCCTTTAAGGGGCGGCTCTTACCTGAGTGATGTGGAAATCAATCTCTTTGCCACTATACTGGTTGAGGAGCCAGGGTACCTGGTTCAGGGCAAATTCGCAAAAGTCCTTCCGGTGCAGTAGCAGGCTCACTGTGGGTCCATGGGCCTTCACCAGGGCCAGTGTCTGTAGAGGAAGCCAACATGCACCATTTCTATTACTTTGCTGTGCTTTTGAAACATTTTTCAGAATACCAGGAGTATTGGGTCCCCTCAAAAACTTTACTCACTGCCTTTAGGCAAGAGGAGATTCTGAAAAACCTTTAAAAATGCCCAAACAAAGATCATTGATGTATCAGTCAGTATTTCAATATTTGCTCTTCTCTCCTATTTCTGTAACTCTCTCTAGTAGTCATTTTCTTTCAATAGCTTAAGGAAATAAAACATTCATACATATTTAAAAATATTTGGTGGCCCTACATCACCTTGACCCCTCCACTGCAGTGCTATCCCCGTTGGATTCTGTTTCTTTCCTTTTTCTTGGAGGAAATCTTTCTGAAGGAGTGGCACACATGTTCTATGCCCACTTCTCACCTCCCTTACCCCTCAGCCCCTGCAGTGCTGCTTCCATCTGAAACTGCAGATGAACAACTTCCACAGTATAACATACAAGTGTAATAATTACTGTTTATAAACATTTAACTATCACAAACATTAGAAAGAAGAAAGCATAATATCTGCAAGGACCTGTGGATAATAACTATCTAGTGTATTGTAATTATTTTCATTTATTTGACTTATTCTTTTCTACCTTTTTAAAGCACTTTTTTAAAAAAATGACATAATTCTTTAATATATGATTCTATACTTTTTTTGCTAATAGTGCATGCTTATTTTTGTATTGGTTATATTTTACTATAGAACAGATTATCCTAAAATTCAGCTGTTAATACCAATAAACATTTATTCTACTCAAGATCATGTGTCAGACCATGTGTTAGGTGGTTCTTCTATCACCTATTTCTGTGTAACAGACACACTGCAAGCTTTCTGCCTGAGTCCAGTAACAATGGACTCTGAAGATCTTATTTTGCTTCTTGAAATCTACTGATAAGAAAAGATACTACACTTAATCTTGACCAAAAGGCGGGGAGACATATAATAATCATGATACCAGAAATCCAGCAAAAGAAGAGAATATTAAAAGCTGTTAGAGAAAAGAAACAGATCACCTATAGAGGAAATCCCATCAGAATCACAGCAGATTTCTCACCACAAACCATTAAATCAAGAAGAGCTTGGAGTGAAGTATTCCAGGTCCTAAAACAAAACAACTTCCAACCCAGATTGATGTGTCCTGCAAAACTATCCTTCAAACTTAATGGAGAAATAAATATTTCCATGACAATGAACAATTGAAGAACTTCATGAGTACCAAACCAACCCTACAAAGAGTACTGAAAGACATTCTAGAAAGAGCTAAAATTGACCACAATTTCAAGAACAACAGTACAAAGGAACCACCAAGCAGAACAAGCAATTAAACAGAAAGTAGAAGTAGGAAACCAACAGCAAGTAAATAACATGACAAAGATAAGCCAACACATATCAGTTATAATCACTAATGTAAATGGTCTCAGTTCACCAATCAAAAGAAGCAGACTGGCAGAGTGGATTGAGAAACAAAAGTCAACAGTATGCTGTATACAAGAAACATATTTAAGTCAAAAGGAAATTCATAGACTGAGAGTCAAAGGATGAAAAAAATACCTTAATTGCTTAAAGTATAGAAAAGAAAGTGAACCATAAAATTAATGTAATGTTAAAATTTTGATGATATAATCATATAATGACATAACCATAATATAATTTATACTGGTTTAAAAATAGCAATCCAACAAGATAAGCATGGCACTATGTATGTGAATGCACTTTGTAAGCTCTTCTCTATCAGGCACTGCAGCATTTTGACACAGCCTAGTACATTCTTTAGATATTATTTTGTTTAAATATCATAGTCATAAACATCAGAAATTCTGTTACTTGTTTTTTCCAGCTAGTGACTCAGCTTAAATATAGGCTATGATGCAAGAGATAAAGTTACAAACATCCTTGGCATTTTACCTATTTGTTCCGTTCACACACTGAAATATCAGTTTTGTAAGAGTGGGATTTTACTTTGTTTAATCCTTGCCATATCCACAGCACATGGAGTGGTATCTAGCATGCCGAGGGGATTCAATAAATACCAGCTGAAAGAATGAATGGTGATTTGCAATAGATGGAAAAACTGGAAGATTTGAAAACCATCAAAAAGTAACCAACAATGTCCAAAAGAAATGAACAGATTGTCATGTCACAAAAAGAAACAAATGGATTGCTAATAGTTAGAGCACCCTAAGCTGCTTAAAAACATGAATATCTTAATAACTTCAAGAGGAGAAAAAAAAGTGAGAGAAGGTGGTTAAGTGTTACATTTCTCACAGAGACACAAATGTGATGCCATTTAAACTCGGAGTAAACAGGATGCAACCAGCACAGAGGGAGATCCAGCTGGGCATCCTGAGTCTACACTCACATTCTCGTGCGAGGCTGTGGGAGCCCATTTCTCCATTATGTACCGGAATAGCATGAAGATTTTGTCAGAGAGTCGGTTGGCATCCAATTTGGGGTAGGGGAAATCTCTCCAGTGGTTGACATACTTGTAAATGGCTTTGCTGAATTTCTCAAGGGCTGCATTTAAGAAAAATACAGTCATAGGCTGAGAAAAATATAAAGGTTGAAAACATAAAATTATGTGAAAAGAGAATACTGTCAATTAGCAACTGTATCATAGCTTCTATATAGCTATACAGTCTTACAGCTCTACTGAATAAACATCTACCAAGTGTTCAGCCAAGTTGTTAAAATACAAAATCAAACCATTAAGTGATGCTGCTTTTTTTTTACCATTCCAAGATAGCTAGGATAATTGTGCTACTAAATTTTATTGGTTTATTGAAAGGAACAGTTAATGTTGAATTGTTTGATCAGTCTTGCATACCTACATCTGGTAATCTGAGCAACTAATTTGAAGATAACAATAAGTAATACAACAACCATTGTTAATTTCCTACCATCTTGTTTTGAAATTCTATATTGTTTTTATTGTTTTTGTGTTGTTTTGTTTTGTGTTTGTTTTTGTTATTTTGTTTCTATCCTTTTTCCTTTAAAATAAAATTTACAAAAGAGATACTCTATACACAATTGGAGAGAGGCTCAAAGTTTACTTGCAAGAACGCAATGTTACCTGTGATGAGTAAGTAGAGATAATAAAAATACTGCAAAGTGAAACATAGACCAGCGATGCCAACCATTTTAGAACTTTCAACACAACACAAGCAGCTTGTCGCAGCATGCATGACAGGCGTTCACTACCACTGATACAGGCAAAAGAAATCTAGCAGAATTGTACAAGTCCTTGAATCAGATTGTCACAGTTGACTTACTTAGCTCTGCTATAGTCTAGTTGTCTGATAGATTGTTTAACTTTCTAAGTCCCAATTTTCTTATCTATAAAATAGGGGGAGATATTACTCACGTGCACTTGATCTTAGCTAAAAGGCCAAGAAGCGATACCCACTTACAAATGTTAATTGAAATAATCTTAAGTACTCAGAGCAGTTTCAGACACATAACAAGTTCTCAGTACATGAAAATTAACCTGAACTGAGGGCAGAACGAGAGGAAATATGCAAAATAGAAAAAAAGGTGCTTTGTTGAAGGTAAAGAAGATATTTCTTACAGTGCAGTCTTTAAATGTTATGAAATAGTAGTGCAAAGGCCTATCAGATGTGAAGGGATCCTAACAATTACCTCTGATGTTTTTAGAGGCAACTGGGAGAAGTCACTGGGGCACAAGATAAGACTTCAGGTTCCTGGACCCATTCAAGAAGGCTGTCTCTGCGCCACACATGTATCTCCCTAGGAATTTCCTGCAGGTGCATTCCATTTGGGGTAGAGGGAATTGATTACCATAGTTTGCTTGCCTAGCCTTCTTGATTTCATGATTGCTCCTATTTTGATTACTTTGTTTACTTTTCTTTATTATACACTGTGTTATGATCACATGTCAGAATTGAACTTACTGTTAAGAGCTAATAAACCTCCATAGTCACTGCAGAGAAAGTGCTATCTATCTAATATAAGGAGCAGGCTAGTGGGAGTGGAGGCCATTTAAGGCAGTAGAAAGAGTAACCTGGGCAGTCCTCATTGTGCAGGCCTGTGTTTGAATGCCACCTGAATGTGCCACTGACTGTGTCACCATTGTGGGAAAAGTGATTAATTTTCATGACACAGGTTTTCATCTGTAAGACTGTGCTCACCTTGAAAAGACTGTACTTACCTGTGACAGTACTTACCTTGCAGAATTGTTGTGAGGGCTGAGGAGGTCACTCCCTGCAGAGCGCCTTCTGTGTGATAGGCGCCCAGTAAATGGTAGCTATTATTATTAGAAAAGGCAAGATTGAAATAAAAAGGGAAAAAGCAAGTAATCTGCAAGACTTCATGGTCTCCTCTTAAGCAAAGAGGGACTCACAGTGACACCCACCAATACAGAACGTCTGTTTCATCTTGTCATCTTCCGCCAGCCTGAGCATGGTTTGCATGGTGAGCAGGGTCATCATCATGAAAGGGATGCTCTGGGACACTGCAGTGAAGAAGAGGAGAGGGAAGGAGGGAAGGGGAGGAGGGGAGAGGAAAAAGGGATTAATTTTTCCCCTGGGAATTCTGTGATATTTTTTATTTCCTTGCACCTACTATAAACATGCCATGGTTCCATGGAAGAGGCAGGTGAGGCGCAGTAGGGAGGTATTTTCTATCCCCTTTCTCCCACCTTAATGCCAGGGAATGATTAGTTTGAGAGAAGGTACTGGCTATACAGCCACCTGTACCTGTTTAGTGGCAATTGTTTACTTGGGTAATTATTTCATAATTCCAACCTCTCTCACCCAAGCTTGCCCTATACTCAAGGCTCAGCAATGTAGCAGTTGCTCAATAATATACTACTATTAAAGTAGTGTAGAAACAAGTGGTGGGAAACCATTTCTTCAGGTAAGTATTCAGTGGTTTGCAGAATATGCCTTGTGGAAAATGTGCTTCTGCAAGTGCAAAGCCAGGTGCAGAGGAAGGTGAGGGTGGGAGACAGACCAAATTCAGTGTAGTCTGGACTAATGGCGGGGCAGCAGGCTCATCTTGTTCATAAATGGTTCATAAGTGGTTGTCCACATCCCTCTGTTAATATTCTTTAGCTCAACGTAGACAAAGTTATTTTCCCCTCTGCCATCTGCTCCTATCTGTGTTTTAGGCAATGAGGGGTGGATGTTTCCCAGGGGAAACATGGACAACATTTCCTTTATACCACAACTTGTTGCCAGTTCAGCCAGAGAAAGCACAATGAATTCATTTGGTAGCTCCAGGATCCGGAAGTGACTTTGTACTTCGTACATCACAGAATTGAAGTCATGTGCAGCCAGAGACACCAAAACCTCACCAGCCAGCATTCTGAGTTCTCTGGGAATCTGAGAAAAAAAGGAAGCTATTAACCACTGGAGGAAGAGCAGAGTAGGTCAACAGAGAGGAAAAAGTCTACATAATATTATCAGTTCCTCTGGATTTGGGATAGGGCAGAAACAGGCTGTTATAAATAAATCCATGGTAAAAGATTTTTATGTAGCTGTCAGCTAGAAAAGCAGAGGCAATTTTAATACATTTAAAAGTAGTTTTAATAGGGTTGTTATAAATTTACTATTATAGTATTTTAGCATAAAACTTAGTACTTTAGTACTTTAGTATAAAGAGTATTTTAGTATAAAAGAGTATTTTAGTAAAAAAAATACTAAAAAACCTGCACTTGGAAAAGCATCAAAGGGCTCCCAGTATAGAGTGGAATAAACCACTGAGTTAAGATTTGGAAAAGGTCAGACAGTACAAGGTACGGAGGCATAGAAAGAAAAAGAAGTCATGAGACCCAAGAAAGTGGTTCTAATGACGTGCTCTGTCAGCAGATAGCTCTGATATTTTAACAGATACCTCTGAATAAACATGCTCATCTAAAGGGAGGGTGGGTGATGTTACTCTACAGGGTCACATAGACCCTGTTGCTGGGTCCATGCTGATTTGGCACCAAAACCCAAACTTACATTTTCATCTCTCATATCCTTAGAAGTGTAATAAATAAGGCGTTGGACAATTGCATCATCCAAAATGTCAGAGTTCTGAATCACTGAAGTGAGATGACTGTAAATGTCTTCCTGTGAACGTATAAGACAGACACAAGTTTTTGGGTTGCAAAGATGAAGAAACTGAGTAAAGTCCAAATAAATAGCACAAGCTAAGCAATATATTTAATTCAAGTTTCTTGAATATAATATATGTTTGTAAGAGACAAAACCTTAATGTGTAGAGAACAATGAATTCTCATAACGATTTTAACTTGTTGCATCTCTATGACGAGATCCTACTGAACCAGGGACAGGCTGCCACATCGAAATCATTCCGAAGTCGCTGGTGCAGAGCTCTTTGGGGAACGGAAATGTCTGTCACCCTAATGGTTTCTCTTACTACCAGGGAGTGAGAGTGGCACTAGAAAGCACAATACGATCCCAAAGAGGCTGCTACGCTGTGAAACAGGATTCCAGGGAGAGATACAGGTCCTTCTTTCATTCATGCTTTGCTGAGAGAAGGTTGTGAATTTTGTTTTGATGGAGAAGCAGCTCCAGGAACCAGGCTTCACCAGACCACCTGAGTGGGTGCCTCTGAATGAGGGGGTTACATGTCCTCTGCAAGATGAAAGAAATACCCACATTCTGAACTGCCTGCAGCCTCAAACATGTACCTCTGGGCATGGTACTAGTGTTTAAAGTATGAAATAGCTTTCTTTCCACTACTCCTTCGTCCTTGGAAAATTTGAAACTAAGGAATAGTTTGCCATTGTTTTCTTCCTTATAAGCACTTTCAGAGCTTGCCTAATTGGCTCAGAGTTTTTCCCTTAACCCTTATCTATTCTCTACCTTCTAAGCCTGTTTTCTCAGCAAGGCTGACAATGATGAGGCCCTTTACCAGGTTCCGGGAACCGAGCCAGGCCCTGTACCTGAAATGTCTCATTCATGCTACAAGAAGCTTGTGCATTAGCTGCCATTAATATACGTCCTTTATAGATGAAGAAAGTGAGTCACAGAGAGCTTAATGTGGTATAAGCTGGTGACGCTGACTTTGTACCTAACAGTTTGCATCTCCACGGACATCTTAATCTCTTCATTGTTTTAGCTATTCACATTCCTTAACCTGGCCCCCTACAAAAATAACCGGTAGGTGTGTGTTCATAATACATATGCTTTAGTCACTTCTTTAGAAATTTTCCTTCAGTATTTCTGGAGTCCAGAGATTACTCCCCAAGTACTTCTCAATGTTTGAGAAATACTGCTGTATGGGAAAGTTAATTCTTACTAAGAGATTAATATAATAGTTGCCAACTGTACCTAAATATGTGGATCATTTCTGTGAGCTGTGATGTCCAGGCTTATCACAGATTGGTCACCCAGAATCCCTGTCACTGAGACCTGGCAGTTGGTGTTTCCCTGAATCTCTCTAAGGGATTGCGACAACCGGTCAGGGTTGACAACCACTGAATTAAGAGACACAGTAAAGGCTCCACCTTTCAGAAGGGGGCAACAGTGAATAGTCATTAGGAACATTAGTTGGGGTTAGATCATCTTGTGTTTTAATTTAGCCCTGCTGCTCCTGTTTGGGGAAGCCATACAACTTCTCTGTGCTTCATTTTCAGCTGTCAGCTGGAAATAGCAGTACTGACCTCACCGAGCTGTTGCAAGGAGAGGCTATTATGCAATGCACCATTGTTTGAAAACATTCAGCACTCCCTTTCCTAGATAAGCATTCAATGAAAGGTACTTATTTTGTTTTCTGAAGTCTGAAAAGCCTTCAATTCTCAGAGAATATTTTAGTGAAATAACATTATGGGTGAACATAGGAAATGTTTAAGGATTTTCATAGGAACCCTAAATAACAAAAGAGGAGACTCTAACCCAAATGGCTGTAAGTCTGACATCTCCCTCCTTCCACATCTTTGTGTTTAGGGTCATGATCAAAAGCATCATTTGCTAGAAGTGGACACTGTGATTGTTCAGCACCATTGTCACTTCCACTACATTTTACAACGGAATTTTCTGAAAAACCTAATGTCATGTAAGAAGCAGGAGAAATAGGAGACGGTTGAGGCAAACAAGAATGTGTACGACATGTTGCAGTCACTGGACTAGGAAAGTGGAATGGCAATGGTAGTTTTCCATATTTTTGTTTGTTTGTTTGTTTGTTGGTTGGTTTTTCTCTGGTACCGGGAACCGAACTCACGACCTTGCACTTGCCAGGCAGGCGCTTTGCCGCTGAGCTAAATCCCCAGCCCCAGTTTTCCATATTTATCCTACCTTGCTGATAACATCTTCTTTATTCAGCATCCCCAGAGTGAGATTAATATCTCCAAACATTTCTAAAATGCATGGAAAAGGAAGAATTAAGATATCCATAAAAAATGCCCTCCTGCTAATTACTTTGCAGTGGTCATGCATAGTTCCCTTCCTCTCTGGCCCCACTCCTGATCCTTTCTCTCCTTGATCACTTGCTTTTTGATGGCAAAAATTGCTAGATTCCAATATATCCCTCCAATCAAGTGGGCATTGCCTTATATATAATCCTCTCTAGTGAGAGCTGGCTGTAAGAGTCAGTGGCTGAATACCCTTACTCTTAGCTTTCTTTTTTTCTTTCTTTCTTTCTTTCTTTCTTTCTTTCTTTCTTTCTTTCTTTCTTTCTTTCTTTCTTTTCTGAGTAGAATTTCATTATGTAGTCCAGGCTGGACTTGAACCCCAGCCTCCCAAGTGCTGGGATTACAGGTGTGCACTGACTAATCCCTTACTCTTGAGCATCCAAAGACTATGGTGAAACATAGTTATTTATCTTCCACTATTTTTCCATCAATGCTTCCCTGGTCTTTTTTCCCACACTCTCTTCCTTTCTATTTTTTTGTGTCTGTCAGGTCTTTCTTGTTGGTTCCGTGCTTATGAGACCTTGCTTTTTCCTAAGAAAGACTTAACCATTTTGACTTGTACTTTCTAATAATACATGTTTTTGGATTAGATACCAGAAAACTAAGAAAATGGAGTCAAAAGAACTGAGCAATTTCAAGCCACATGGGAGGTTGCTAGAAGGAAGCTTTTGGAGGTAAAGATTTCCCACGAGTCTCCAAATCCGACAACACACCCTATTAATACAGTCTTTTTTGGCAAGTGGGAAGACAGCCATACTTAAAAATTGGAGAAAACATTTGTAAGGAATTTTCTAATGTTCAAAAATAAACAAGAAACTCACTTTCTTGGATAATTAGCCACTTTCTCTTTAGGCAGATTATAAAATTTTAAACAAGTAAACCGCAATCATGTCTCAGGCTTTCAGTCTATCATTTCTCTTTCATAATGAACAGGATTTTAGTATTGTGAAACCAAAGCAGAGCTGAGGAAAGAAGCCTTCTTTAGCAGACTATTCCATAAAATCTTTGCAGTCCACAGTTGGAGAAATTGATGTCACACCAACCCCTAGACCTGACAAACACCTATAGTTACCTCAGCCTCAAAACACCGTAGAGCCCTTGTTCTTAAGATCCAGTGATGCTTACCTGTAGAGTCTTCCATGCTGTGAGTTGTCTTGGCTATTTTAGGCTTTCTGAGAGATAGCAATTAAGTATCAGAAAGAAAAAGGCTTAAAAAAAAAAATCGAAGAAGCAATCTGGCAAGTTTCTCATAGGGTTCCCTAAAGGAAAGTCCCTCCTTCACTTGATTGGCACAGTGATCTGGAAGCTTTCAGGGACGGTTCGCTGCTGAGGAGAACAATGCTGTACTCTACCACCAAGACATTTCCTTGCGTCTGAGCTTCTGCTGTCCAACAAAATGGCTGCATCTCATCAAGTATTGTCCTTTTGGAGGAGACCAGAGTGTTTGAGAAGGAAGAAATTAAAGATTAGGACTTAAACCATTGTTGGAGACCAAAGGAGTTTCTCTCCCTAAGCTTGGGTCCATTGATCAGAAATTTGGGAATGGTTTTTGGTGGTTACTTTCCTGGCCTGATGTTGGTAAAGCCTTTAGGTGATCTGGTTGATTGTTCTATTTGGTAAAAGTCAGTCACACAAACTGGGCACGCTCAGTGGGCAAGAACGCTTGCTGGGGGCAGTTGAATGGAATGTCCAACTGACACAGCAGCCAAGCCAATCCCTCTCTGCCTCTCTCCCCATCACTTCCCCATGGCTTGGTCAGGAGCTTGGCATCACTCCACCCACAGGCTTTGACGGATTCCTTTCTCTCTATTTGCTATTTAATAGTTTTAAATCCAGACTTCTTGGCCACAATGCTCTCAGTTTTGCTAGCATGGACCTAAATCTGATCCCCAGTGCATCTTAGCCCTAAATCTGTGTGATCACAATTTCTTATCTATGTGCAGCCTGAATGTTAATATGGCACATAACGGAGGGTGGCACTAACAACCTACAGTGCTGGATGTAACAGAGGCTGAGGAGAGGGTCTCGACTGCTGTCTCTTCTCTGTCTTCCCTTCATTAACAAAGTTTATTTGAGATTCAAAGATCAAATGCTTACAACTCAACCTTTAAATTCATCATCCTCACAGGCAGGAGTTTTGGTTCTCAGTGGGCTGGTGGTTAAAAATACTTTTAGCTTCCCAAGTCAGCGTCACTTATGCTTGTCCTCAAGTGCTTTGACATAGGATTCATAAGATTCATTTCATTTAAAAGGTCAAATACCATATCTGGTAAGTTAGAATGAGGAGCAGGAATCTGTATTTCTTAATGAGTACCCCTGGTGTCTTACATTTATTAAAGTCTGAGAAGGAATGGCCAAGATCTTTGCCCTCTCCTGGATCAGTGAATAAGTGAATATTCAGCATTTAACTGAGAGTGTTCACTGTTGTTGACAAGAATAGCAGCTGCAGTTTTCTAGAATCCTGATTTATTCATCACTGAAGAATGGTCTGAGAATTGGGGACTCAGAGAGGTACTGGGGTGATTAGTGGAAGCCCAAAACTTACAGTGCCTTATAGAGAAAAAATATGTGAGAAATTATGTGCTTTTAGAACCTTAAAGAACAATATGCAAAAAGATTAATAATAGGAAATGTAGCTGTGTAAGTAATTGTGACAATATTTTTGTGAATGCTAACAAGTAATTTTTCTGCATCCCTATACATAAAGACTTTTTTGATTTCTTAGAAGCTAGGCAAATTAGATGATTGGCTTATATTAACTTTATAATATATTCATCACTACAATCAAAACACATCACTACGTTCCTTTAGATAAAATAAACTCAGATAGATTAGAAAATTCCAAATCTTCATACAGCTGACTTCCAGCCATTCTTTTCTGTTTTGGTGGGCCTCTGGGTGGCATCGTCCCTGTTCCCCTACTTCTCTTGCACTAGGTTGACACCAGTTGGGTTTGATTTCTCGGAGGCCTAAGGAACATGATAAGCACTAGTTCTCAGACCTACCAAGGTGGCATGTGCTAATTTAATCTTGTTAAATAATATCTTGTTAATAAACCAGATATTTCTTCACCAAGGAGCCTGCTAAACAACTAGGGTGTCTCTCTGGAGACGTGTAACTGTCCTCTTTGGATGTAACTTGTCAAATGTTCCTACCCAGTCTTAGGAGTACCATGTTCCAAATGAGGTCTAATCAGACAAGGTTATGAATAAGACAGTAAAGGTAAAATAGGCACCTATTGAATAGACACTTAAAAATAAGGAAATAGTATACAAATTTAAATATTGTGGTTTTAATAGTTTTATTGTAAAGGTGTTAGTGTAGAGTGAAATTAATTTAACTTTGACTCAACCCTTTTATTCCTCAAATAAAGTGTCAGATTTACAAAATATATTAGAAGGGAAGTTGGATGCTGCTTTTCTTTTAGTTAGTTTCCTGCGGTAAACCCAATCTCTGTGTTTCAGTATATAAAAAGGGCAAGGAATGATAGACGGGGATCTCATAGAAAATAAATATGCCTTTGGTGCTAGTAACCTCATTCTCCTGTTATACTTTTTCTTTTCCTTCCTTTTCTACTTCTTCCTTCTCCTTGGTCTGTGTCTTCTTTTCTTCTCTTTTCTGGATTCTTCTCACTTCTTTGTTTTGTTTATTTGTTTTATGACTCTTTTACCTTCATTTTTTCTTTTTATAACAAGCAACGACAAAATAGTCATTTCTAGTATCATTCATTTGAGTTGAATTCAACACACATCTACCAACTGCTTGGTAGGCAAGAAGCCCCAGCATGGATATCCTTGGATAAACAATATAATTAAAGGTTCACCTTGTAACCTCAAGGAACTGCAGTGGGAAGGTTAGGGGGGAGAGAAACCACCACGGACACAAGTGAACAAGGAGCCAGGCTGGAGACTGTTACAACAGAGGAGCAAATAACGTGAAGTCATTGAGTTCTGTCCATGAAGCACAGGGTGAACACTCCAGTTGGTTCTTATAAGCAGAGATAAATCCTCTTTACAGCACACAGAGAAACTCATCTTTCTCCTCCTCTAAATAGAGACAACAGATCTTCTAATTAGCTTTTTCTTCTTTAGCATAAGTATAGTTTTCTATTTAATTTACCAAGATTTAGACTATCAAATTGCTTTCCATTATTTTTATTGAAAATGTATAGTGTTCAACTACTATGATAAAATGTATTCAAAATAATTTAACCCCAGGGCAGGATTTATGTATGAAATAAAAAGGAAGGAAGAAACAGCAAGAGATCTGGAGATTAAGAACTCAAACTGCATCTAGCTTCTGCTTCATACTAGTTGTATTATCTGGGGAAAATCAACCATGTCCCTGGACTGAATTTGATTTCTCAATAACAGAGAGTGAGGGGATCCAGTTAGTTGGCCCTGGGAGCATTTGTTGTACCAAACGTTTTTGTTTTTACTTTTTTGGTAACTCCAAAGCCATTTATAAATGAAGTTCTGCATCGGAACTTCTGGTGTTTCTTAAAGAATTTCTCATACTCTTCTCCATTATGTACCAGTGTGAAAGCTTCCTGCAAACTTTTTCATAGAAACCTTAGTGCAGCATTTTTTCCTGCACAGACAGCAGCAGTTGATGAGGCCGGGAAAGGAGAGCGGAGAACTTCAGGCATTGAATGCAAGCAGCCAGCATTGTGGACAGTGAGGAGAGGGGGTGAACTATAGCTTAATTCAAATGATGGAGTTTCAATTAATGTTTCTTGATTAAAAATCCTCAAGAAATATTAACAAGGAGTTACTAATTTGAAACATGTACAAGCAGCAGTTACTTTTCTGTGTATCATAAGCATTGTGCATTTTAAAATTGAGAACATAGTTTTAAAAGTATCCTGTAGGAATTCAGAAAGAGTTTCAGAATTTAATCTCTCTAGAATGTTCAGATCAAACCGATGAGTCAATGGTTTGGCTCTCAGGTGATAAATAATTCAAGCCTCTGCAGATGAAGAAGTAAGTTTCTTGCAAATTGTTTCTTGGAGCCTATAAAGGAGGAGTATCGAAGCTTGCTACTGACCACTTCCCAGAGAAGAACTCAGTCTGCTTTTGTAATTTGAGGTAGGGGAAGAAACCACTGGAGTCCTTTACCTCAGAAGACCTTTACTTGTGTCTTGTCTTCACAGACATTGGTTTTCCGCTTTCTGGAACTCAATAGACCTTGACCAGAGCTTTTAACACTAGGTTCTGTCAGTCACTTCTTGTCCTCCCAGGTCATACGTAGGAAAGATTAACATCATCTCTTGAGGAAGAATTTTATCTTTAGTGGGAGCTGAAGAATTTGTGTACTTTCATTATCTCAACTTTTTTTTTAAAAGAGTAAAAGAAGGATAACATAGTAATAGGGGGACTTACTGAATTACAGATAAAGTGGTAGGAAATTATCAGTAGTTGTTATTTTACCTATTGGTATCTTCAAGGTAATTTGTCAGGAAAACATAGACAAATAATAGTGAGTTACAGACAAAAGTGGTAGGAAATTATCAATGGTTGTTGTACTATGCTTTGGTATTTCCAAAGTGGTTTCTAGAGAAAACAAATAGAGTTATACATGAGCCATCAATTAAATAATCATTGACTATTCTCAGTTGTTGTTGTTTGAAACACATAGTAATAAACATACATCCATTTACAAAATAGCATAGGAACAATACAAACATTAGAGTTACGGACAGATTGGTAGGAAATTATCACTGGCTGCTGTAATACATGTTGGTAATCTTCAAAGTGGTTTCTCAGGAAAACAGAGATATGCAAGAAAGATCTAACAAGTAGTTACAGCTTAGGGTTTGTGAAAAATAGCAGATTATCTCTTCACCAGTGACTCCTTTCACTGAGGTGTGATGGCTGCAAGGAAGGCCAGGAGTGAAAAGAAGGACCGAGAGACTAGCACCAGTGTCCAGTGATAGGCTGTTTGCTTTTTCCTCTACAGTCATGATTACGCAGGGCTCCTCCATGGAGATGATGGTCTGGCCAGATATCTCAACATTTTGTAATGAATGATTTGAGCCTTGTATCTGCCAAGTAAATGAATCATAGAAGAAAAAGTCATCAGTGTCATATTTTTAAGTAATAAAAAATCATTTCATTGATTCTCAATGATTATCTTACATTTAGAAAGAAAAATCTAGTCCTTTTAAAATTTTTTATAAAGAAATAAGCAAGTCTTTGTTGTTTAATTACTTTTACAAGATTAAAACACCTTGTTTTTAAGAAACTGAGACAGGGTCTTACTATGTAGTTCAGGCTACATAGCTTGAACTCACTTTGCACCCTAGGCTGGCCTCAATCCTGCAGTGATCATCCTGCTCCAACCTTCCAAGTGCTGGGATTACAGGTATGTGCCACCACTCCCAGCCTAAAATACACTCTTAATTCATAATTTTACTAATTTCAACGGTCTGTAGAAAATCCATAGAAGTGGATATTTTTATGTTATGCTTGAGAGACTTATAGATTCTTAAATTTTTTTGGTGAGTTTTATAAAAACTATTTATTAAGTGAAAGTATTTAAAAACATTTTCCACAAGCAAACTATTAGATACAATTTTTTTTTTCTAGTACCGGGAGCTGAACTCATGACCTTGCACTTGCCAGGCAGGTGCTGTGCCACTGAGCTAAATCCCCAGCCCC